AAAAGGGGAGTAGAAAAAAAAAAAAAAAAAAACCAGCCAACAACAATTAGGAAAAAAAAAAAAAACCCAGCCCTCTTTACCATTAATTCAAAACAAAACTTTCACTGTTTGAAGCTTCTGAGTTGGTGGGACATGTCTGAGACCCAAATATGGCCTGTGTATGCTGAGCAGCTAGGGAGGCACCAAGGTGGGATGAGGTCCTAGGCCTCAGAGGCCCTGTGTACAACAGGTGCTTAACAGGTATTATGGCATGTGGGTGGGAGCAAGGGAGGGGGGAGAAGAACGATGTCAGGAAGGAGTCCTGGGGAGCTGACTGCAGGGATGCCCCCAAGATTAAAGACTCCCTGCTACCTGTGGACCTGGGTCTGAACATTCTCTACACCTCCTGTGTAAATATAAACCAAGCCAGTTCTAGAAGCTGAGGCCTCATTCCCTATTCTAGCACCTGTTCTCTTCTGAGAGAGGAGGCTGGCTTTTCCTTGTGAGGTCAGAGGTGTTGTCTTTTTTTTTTTTTTTTAAGAGAGTGATTTTTTGCTACAGGGTACATGTGCTAGCCAGAGACAGAGACAGAAAGTGAGAAATCACCGACCATCCCCCCCCCCCCCCGGGGATGGCCACACCGCAATCCCTTCTCCTCCATTCTCCTCTTGGGATCTTGGGCATGCACACACACACGTGCCCAGTGCGAGTTTTAAGTCACTGAGTCTGGGACTCGAACTATGGTCAACTACTTGGGAATCCAGCAACGTAACCATTATACCATCTACTGGTCCCCAGAGGTGTTGTACTCCTTTTTTTTTTTTTTTTGAGAGGTTTTTTGCTATAGGGCGTGTGCGCTCGCCAGACAGACCGAGAGAGACATAGAGACAGAAAGCGAGAAATCATCCCCCAGGGGGGATGGTCACGCCGCAATCCCTTCTCCTCCATTCTCCTCTCGGGATTTTGGGCATGCACGCACACGCGCCCGGTATGAGTTTTAAGCCACCGGGTCTGGGATGCGAACCGTGGTCGACTACGTGGGAGTCTAGCGACATAGCCATTACGCTAACTGCTGGTTCCCACCAGAGGTGTTGTCTTTACACCCTCCCTAGACCATTTATTCCTCCCTCTTAAAAACATTTTGCCAGAGAGTGTGTGCACTCAGCAGAGAGAGATAGAAAGAGACAGAAAGAGAGAGAGAAATTAAGTGAGAAAGCACCTCCCACCATGCATTGCATATAGAAGACATCTTGAGAGCTTCTTGAGAACTGTCTGCCATCTTAGAAACCTTAGGCTTCACTTCCTCATTGAGCAAACCATGTCTCAGAAATTATGTTACCAACTGTTGCTAGGCAATGGGAGATCCACCCACATCAATAATTGGCTCATACTGTTGTATTTCATTTTCGGGCAACCAATTGGTGCCCACCAGCCTGTATATAAAACACAGTTTGCTCTGCAATAAAAAAAGACTTAATCAACACCTCATCTTGTCTCCACTCTGTGTGTGTGTGTGTGTGTATAAGTTTTATGTGAGTCCCCTTTTTCACCGACCTCACCCAGGTACCCGTTCGACTGTCCTGCGGGTCGGGGCAACCATGGGACATGGTCATGCTGCAATCCCTTATCTTCCATTTCTCCACCTTTTTTGGGATTCTGGGCATGTGAGCACATACATGCAGTATATTTCCCAAGCCACCAGGTCCAAGACTTGAACTGTGGAGTTGATCATGTGGGATTCAGCTGCCTTAGCCATCAGGCCGTGGGCTGGTCCCCTTCTCTCCCTTTACTGTCACTTGTTCCATGAGAGACAGTGGCCAGAGAGGTTAGAGGAAAACTGACAGAAGGTGGTGGCTTAAAGAGTTCCAGGAAGTCACTTGAGCAGGGCCTGGGGTGAGGGAGGAATACTACTACTGCTGCTATGGCAAGCTAGAATCCTTGCATAATGAGGGCTGGGGTCAGGTGGGAAAGAGGAGCAGAGGTCACCATCCCCTCTCTACTGGGCTATATCCTCACACATGGAAGGCTTCTGGGGAAGAGGATTGGGAAGGTTGTGAGTTGGACGAGAGTGGGCAGAATTAAACAGGTCAAAGAAAGCGCCCAGAGAAGACCTTTGACAAAGACATAAAGCAGATGAGGAAGGAAGCTATGTAGATACTTGAAGAACTCCAAGGAAACAGCTAGTGCAAAGGCCCTGAGGTGGAAGTGTGCTTGATTTGTTTCAGGTCTACAAGGAAGCTGGTATGGTTAGAATGAAGTGAGAGGAAGAAAGGAAATGAGGTCAGAGGGAGGACTAGTGGGGGTTAGACCATGTAGGATCCTGTAGGCTATGGTAAGGACTTTGGCTTTTACTCTGAGACCATGGAAGGGTTATGAGCAGAGGCGAGATATAAACTGCCTCAGGACTTAACAGGATCCAGGTAAAGACAGAGAGAGAGAGGGAAAGTGAGCACATACATGCAGTATATTTCCCAAGCCACCAGGTCCAAGACTTGAACTGTGGAGTTGATCATGTGGGATTCAGCTGCCTTAGCCATCAGGCCGTGGGCTGGTCCCCTTCTCTCCCTTTACTGTCACTTGTTCCATGAGAGACAGTGGCCAGAGAGGTTAGAGGAAAACTGACAGAAGGTGGTGGCTTAAAGAGTTCCAGGAAGTCACTTGAGCAGGGCCTGGGGTGAGGGAGGAATACTACTACTGCTGCTATGGCAAGCTAGAATCCTTGCATAATGAGGGCTGGGGTCAGGTGGGAAAGAGGAGCAGAGGTCACCATCCCCTCTCTACTGGGCTATATCCTCACACATGGAAGGCTTCTGGGGAAGAGGATTGGGAAGGTTGTGAGTTGGACGAGAGTGGGCAGAATTAAACAGGTCAAAGAAAGCGCCCAGAGAAGACCTTTGACAAAGACATAAAGCAGATGAGGAAGGAAGCTATGTAGATACTTGAAGAACTCCAAGGAAACAGCTAGTGCAAAGGCCCTGAGGTGGAAGTGTGCTTGATTTGTTTCAGGTCTACAAGGAAGCTGGTATGGTTAGAATGAAGTGAGAGGAAGAAAGGAAATGAGGTCAGAGGGAGGACTAGTGGGGGTTAGACCATGTAGGATCCTGTAGGCTATGGTAAGGACTTTGGCTTTTACTCTGAGACCATGGAAGGGTTATGAGCAGAGGCGAGATATAAACTGCCTCAGGACTTAACAGGATTCCACCCCACCCCCCGCCCCTGAACTGCTGAGTGTATTTTATTTATTTTTAAGTTAACTTATTTCTTCCATGAATAAGAGAAAGAGAGAAACAGTATCCCCTACAGGGTCTTGACACCATCATCCACTCCCCAGTTTTAGCCAACCCAGGATGATGAGCACGTGTATGCCAGGCTTACTTAGGGAGGTCTCTGGATGTGAACCCAGAGGCTTCCCATGTGGGTTGGCCTTGCAGTTTCACATTTTACCACTGAGCCATTGTCCAGACCCACTGCTGAGTGTACAACAGGGTCTGGAGGGGTCAAGGGTTAAAGTAGGAGGATCAACAAGGAGGTTATAGAGGTAGTCCAGGTGGGCTGGTGATGGTGCTGGCAGTGGACTAGATAAGAAGAGGGTGGATCTGGGAAATATTTTGAATAGAAAACTGATAGAATGAGAATCTTGTGGCCAGACCAGGACACAGACAATGCCTAAACTGGGTGGGCAGGAAGGAGTCCATGAATTACTTGCTAGCTTGAACTTTTAGATGAGAAAAAAAATTCTATCTTGTTTAAGGCCCCATTATTTTGTGATTTTTATGTTACTTGCAGCTGAATGTATTCTTTCCTGACTACTCTACTCTGGACACTGAGACCTGAGAAGGACTACTGGGGGGATACCTCCTTCCTAGGGATGCTGTGAGGTTTAGATAACAGTATGCTCAGACCCTGACATATAGGAGGTGTTCAGTGAATCTTGCCAGGATGGAGGAGGAAAGTGAATGGACATCTTCAGTGGACAGAAGCTATAGTTCAGTTCCTACAGGTGTGAACTCAAAGAGAGTGAAAGGAGTCTCCTAGATGGAGGAAGCTGAAGGAATAGCACTCCTGAGGAACAGAAAGAAGGTAAGGCCGCTGTGGCATGTGGAATGTCATAGAGGGCAAGGAAAAGACTTTGATTAATGAGTGCATTAGCCAGTATCTATGAACATACCCAACCAACTCCTGCTGGCATCACACTGTCAGGCTCAATACTTACTGAAGTTAGAAAAACCTAATCCTTCAAAAATTTAACTTCCCATTTGGTCATTCATTCAGAGAGCTAGTAACAGGGGGGTTATGAGCTAGTACATCATTCTGGCAAAGACAAAGGCAAAGGCTGGGAAGTGGGTGGGTGGGGGGACTCAGTAGGTGCGATGGGAGAGTTTTGTTTGCTTTCTTTTTAAAAAATTATTTTATTAAACTTTATTTTATTTTATTTATTTTGTTTTGATGGTGGGAGGGAGAGGGAGAGAGAAAGTGAGAAAGCAGGCCACCAGGTCCGGGACTTGAACCGTGGTCAGCTACGTCCAGTGCCATTAACTACCACACCACCTGCTGGCCCTGCTTTCTTAGGTCTCACACTAGGGTTCAGTCTAGGTCTTCAGGGGCTCTGGGCACTCCCGGGGCAATAGGGGGTCACAGAGGGTGAAGGAGGTAAAAAGGGAGGAGGTAAATCCATCCCCGGGAAGAATACTCTTCCCACTGCCTCCTTATACTCAATCGTTCTGCTGTCTGACCACCCAATAGCCCAGGCTTTGCCTACACACCATCCTCCCCTCTGGCCTCCTTATTGGCTACTCTTGTCTTCTCTCACACCACCTACACCACCCCTGTTTGTTCTGCATTTCCCCATCTTGCCTCCAAATCCTCTCTCTGTCCCGCCACACTTTCTAGCCTCGGCATTGGTTCATCCGTATCAGCACTGCCCTTTGAGGGTGCACCGCCTTCACCAGGGCTTCCCCATTGGTGATCTGGCATCTTACTCACGCCCGCCCTCATTCCCTATCTCCATTGGCTCTGCCCCTATGATCCCGCCTCCGTGGCCACTCACACACTGCCTCTTGGTCTCCTCTTAGTTTCTGTATTGGCTAGTTACAACCTAGTACTGCCGGTTGAGGGAGTAATGCACGCTTACAGGACTTCCCATTGGCTCGCTGCAGCTATTAACGTCATCCCGCCCCCACGTCA